AAAAAAAAATATATAACTGGTTAGGTTGCCCATATGATCTGAATAGGCTCGAGTATTTCAGCGTTTCAGGCATGATAAAACTACAAATGCTTAAGCTCTGAATCAGAGAGTTACACGGGCCCCCATACTTGTTAGATTCCTGAGCCTATTATGATCAGCTTTCCCTTCAAACCTTATAGTAAGAAGCATTTTCTCTTTTTTTCTGTTTTTCTTCTCTCTCTTCCTGTGATCAGCACTAGATGCTTCTCTATTTGTCCCTGACGCTTTCTATTATTAACCCAGAGGCTTCTAACTGAATCATTAACTATTTCACTCACTTTTCTTGTGAAAATAGCCATGGCCCTATATAACAGTTTGCTCTGATAAGGAAGGCCAACTCCAGACAGGAAAACTGACAGAAACATAACTCTCTCGTTTTTCTTGTTTAATATTAAAGGAAAAACCCAATGCTTAGCGTAGGGGTTGAACATCAAGCAAACTAAAGCTGTTACTGAAACCAGACAACTGGAAGATTCAAGACTCGCAGGTTGCAGAAAAAAGAACGTGGAAATCTGTACAAGCACAACGGCAAAGGCAGAGCGAAGTGCTAATGAGCTCAAGGAGCTGTTCTGTATTTTCTCTAATATCTCTATCTGTCCTAGTAAGTGAGATTAACCCCGATGCTGAGGTTACTGTCTCTTGTTGTTATCAGATGCATGTCACAAATCTGAAACACTATCACTCTCCACGTAGCAATACACATGTTGTCTCTCAGTAGGAAAGACGCTGGCAGACGGATTTACAATACCCCCTTGCAGAATCTAGTGCATTCTTGTTCTTTTTTTAGCTAAGCAGTAAAATCAGGTTATTTTGATACTTTTGGTGCATTGCAACAAGCACTTAGGGCCGTTCTCACTATCTTCATTAAAATTCCTGTTAAATGTAGCAACTCTATCAAACCTTGTCTTAGAACATATAGACAATGTTAAATCATGAATGAGGGAGCTACTTTGGACCCGCCTCAGTTTGGACTGCCAGACAGTCAGGGCAGTTTGGGAGAGTAACGGACCGACCATGCAGTGTGACAGAACCTTTAGCAAAGAAAACACCCACTAACAGGACATAAAGAAGTGGTGAAATAACTCCTTACCTGGTAGATCATGACTTTGAAGTTTCTGCGTTTCAGGAGCTCCGCTTCGTTGGCCTCTAGCTTCTTTATCTGCCCAGCTTGCTTTTCCAGGTTCTGCCGAACGGTTTTCACATTGACGCTCACCTTGCGCACTTTTTCCAGCATCTTGTTCACAGTGTTGCTGGTGGTGGTGTGTGCCTTGGTCAGCTTGGTTAATTCTCCCTGGATGCTAGTCACTGCGCTATCCATCTCTTGCTGTCTCTCCTCCAGCTGTGTTTGGGTCAGCTGGATCTGATCCACTGCTCCAATGATCTTGTCCAGAAGGGTCAGCACCATCACACCATTGATCTGGTCTGATTTGATGGGTTCCTCAGGCGCTTGCTCCTCTGAGGCCTCAGAAGCAGTTGGTGGTTCGATAATTTGCAAAGTAGTATCCTCCATGATCGCTTGGGAGTCCTGGCTAGCAGAGCCCGGAGAAGCTGTCACTGCAGGGAGAGAGAGGAGGGAAAACTAAACCCAAGCCTCAGCTAAACTCTGCGCTGGGAGACACGCCAGAAATGGAGAGCACAGTGTGTGGATGTCTGTGCTGAAATTCAAATGGCACAGCTCTGCAAAGCCGTCCAGTGAAACTGCCCTGCAAAATTTTCCAGGCTTGCAGGTCATTGGCTGACTCCACCTCAGCTATATAAAAGGAGCCCGCTGCCAAATGCCTGATGACCCACCCTTTCTGAAATGATTAAAATAGTTGGAGGGGAGGCGATGGCTTTGCATGCAAACACAGGCACGGCTCAGCGAGGAATGCAAAGCTCTGAAACTACAATCGCCTCTTCTTGACCATAAGTCTAAAAGCACTACAAGTAATGAGAGGAAAAAAACAAAAAACCTTGAGTAAATGGCTCAGGAAGCTGCTGGAAAGAAAGCAAGCCCATCTGGGCACAGCTGTATACATTAAAGGAAGGCTGGTTTTAACAGCTGCACATGGTGAAGTTCAGCTGGAAAATTCAGATCTTTTGCCAATAGTTAGGGATTTTTTTTCCAGGACTACAAAAGCCTGATTTTCAATACCATAAAGCAATGCTACAATTTGAATTCAGTAGTTACAGCACGTAAATTCTGGATCATAAAAATGCACGCTCCCATGTATGTGAATGTACACAACAGGCGTACACATGATATATACAGTGTGCACGACATCTCTATGCAGATGTAACACAGAAAGAAGAAGTAGAATTCAATCCTGAAGTGAAGCAGCTGGCTACTCTCAGCTAAAAGCAGCTATCACAGCTCTGCAATCCTGTATCCATCGACAAATCTAGTCACTAGACTTTTAAATGAGGGACATGCTTCAGCATATGCCACGCAAACACGTACTTGTAAGCAATGCCCAAACATATTGTATTACATAAGGGTTTATTGGTAAAGAAAATACTAATTGTTTCAGAACTTCACAGAGTACGTATTGCTTTGGAAAACACAGGGAAGAAATAATCCTTATCGTGCTAACTTTTAACCTCAGTATTGACACAAAGCAATCCATAGGGTGTTATATAGTGTTGGCAGAAGTTTACACCTCGTGGAGCCATCATCAGCTTATAGCCTTAGAAGACACTCGGGAGGTGCTACCAAAGACCATCTACAACAACCCAGCAGGACCAAGCACAGGAATGTGAAGAAGGAAAATTCAGATCTTGAGAGCAACCATGGGTGAGACCCTCTTCACTGTCGCTCGTGTTGGCTCAGCCAAAGGTAATCAAGCTCCCACAGACAGACCTGCTGTGAAGCCTCTGCTGGCCTGGGCAGCCCAAAGCCCTTCCAGGCCTGGCTGAAGGGCTGTGGGCAAACTGGGAAGGCTGCAGTTTCCCTCTTGTCCTGTAGCTTTGACAACAAGCAATTCATAGTCAGCACATCCTGCCTCCTGCCAGGGTCAAGCCTGCCCTTGCAATTTGCCACAGGATGGCAAATAAAATGAATGCTCTACAACACTTGGTTTCTCCAGGTTCACAGCCTACCTCAAGGCAGTGCTGGAAGAAATGCTTAATTTCAAGCATACAAGCTGGGAAACCCACCACACACAAACAGATGTACAGGAATGTTGCTTAATGATGAATGCTCATGACAGTCAGCACTTTCTGTGGCCCTGTGTTCTCTACCATGTGACAGCTCGCTTTTTACTGCTGCTGTACCCACACTGCACCATTGATCTAGATTTGGTTTCACTGTGCATCAGTAAATTGTGCTGTGTGGCTTCCACAATAGGTATTACGTCATGTATTAAAAATAGGTTGCTTTTCAATACCCTGTTTTTTCCTGGAGGGACCTTTTCCCTAAGCATTTATTTCCAGTGTTTGATGATGATGAGTCAGTTCCATGAAAAAAATCCTCACTCAAGCCAGATAGTGTTGAGGATCTGCAGTTGTTTCTCACTGGGGGTATCTGCTTCAGGGTGCATTTCCACAGGTATCTGCTGTGAAGTTTCATGTACAGGACAGGATGCAAGCAGAGCACTGCTCTCCTTCTAGGTCTGCCATCTATTCCATGTGTGACTTCAATTAAACCTCTGTGCCTTCGTTTCTTCATTTGGGAATAATTAAAAAAAAAAAAAAAAGACTGAGTAGGTCAATCTAGACAGAATCAGATAAAACTACAGAACAGGACTTTATATTCGTTCTTCATAGTCAGTAGAAGAGATGAAGTGCAACACTCAGTGCTTGCTGTGCACGCAGCAATCACACCCCACGCTAAAATGCAATGAGTAATTTTCTATGTTAGGACTAACTCCATTTCAGCCATTTTCTACCCTGGAGACATACCAGGAAAAGCCAATAGGTGGCAAACTGCAGCCTCGCCTTTGGAGCCTTCACACCGACTTGAGCGCACAGGACAGTGAAATCTGACTCAGTCTCTTCTAGTGCAAATAATTTCTTGCTGCTCTTGTTGCATGGTAGATACAGGTTCGTCTTCAGCTCCTCCATGCTTGCACTATGCCTTAGATACTACTGATCATTCCAACATCCCGGCAATTTTATAGCACCGCTACTGAATTTGTTATATAGACATGGAACAGACAGTCCAAACAAAAACTAGCATATTTCAGCTTCAGAGAAAAACTGTCAGATGTATGCAGGACAACAAAGGACTACAACGAACAGCATCTGCTTCCACATCAGTCTGTGGAAGTTCCTGTGACTATAGGAAATGGCTCGGCTCACTAACTTCTTAAATAGCAAGATACGGCCGCTTAGGGCCTGTCAGAAATAAAGAATGGCCTTGGCTTGCAGCACACAGACTCTCTGTTAAATTTCACCACGTGCAGTTGACACAATTTGTCCCTTCATCTGTAGCTTAAGTACAGAGGACATGGACTGGACAGAGAAAAAGAAAGAAAACTATCCTCTGTTTTCCAGGGTCCTGGGGATAAGTACAGGGGAGGAAACATGCAGTATGTCTGCAACTTTCTGCACTGTTAGATGCATCCGACAAATGAGGAGAATTCAGCTTTACAAGCTGCTGCCAATGCAATGCATTTCACAGGCACCAAACTCATTTCGTGACAAATTAAGACAAATGTTATTCAACTTCTAACTTGCTTACTTTTTCATAATCAATTTGAGAGATGTCAAATATTGAAATAAAAGCAAAAACTGAGTGTTAGCAGCCCTACTACTGTCATTTCCATCAGGCAGCACCACTAGTCTCACTAACACCACCAGAGTCTGCTGGCCTAGGGTGTTGTTCGCCATGACTGCAGCCCACCACGCTGATCTGTGCGATGTTTTTTCCTTACATACCTGCAGGTGGTCTTTTGTCTCATACGAGCTCTTAGGAGCAGTACCTGGGGTTTGTTCTTCCAAGCTTGAGTGCCACCCGCACCCACACTGGTGCACCTCTGTCAGAGCGTTACAAATAAGCAAACAGTAGTAACTAGGATCCTCTACTGCAAAAGAGGCAAGTGCCTGCCCAAATCCTGGAGGCATCACACCTCTGCTTTGCTGTGCACCACGAAGGGCTTTCAAAACAGACAACCGTGTGAAAAAGGATCTGTGGTTAAATCATATTTTTGTTATTGCAAAAGCTCCTTTCTTAATCTTATCAAGACATTTACTCAAACAGATGGTTAGTAAGTAGAAGTACTGGGCAGTTTAGTGTATTTTAACTTAACTGTGATTTTTGGCTTCCTTCCCAATGAGCCATGTTTCCATTAACAGTCTCATGCAGAACACCCCTGATAGGCACGGATGTTTCTTGTATTTAATTGGATTTCTGTGTTATGAACAGCTATACCCATGGGTTAGCCTTTGGGCTGCTGGAGGGAATTGCTTCCATTGACATGCGCTTGTACAACACTTGGATTTAACTCCGAGAAGCTATTTTTTGCTCTTTCATGTCCCGTAATTCTACTGACTTCGATAAGCAAACCTTTATTTCGGCCAGCTGAAGTAAGAAGGCAGCGAGGCTGAGGCGTGCGAGGCTGGTGCACCCAGCTGTGCCAAGGTGCCGGGTTCAGGGCTCGGCCCAGCTGCTCGGTCCAGGGAGGTGGCCCGGGATGGGGGGGGTAGCCCCGGCCGGGC